GGAGGAGAGGATTGATTATTTCTGTTCTTGAGGGGGAGTAGTTGATTTCTGTTCATTATTGTTTGTTGTTTGTTGTTTCTTCTTTGAGTAGTTTTTGGGAAATTTTTGTACTGTTGTGGAGGGGTTTTCTTCTTGATAATTCTTGTGGATATTGTGGATACTTGTACTTATGGGGGATGTATATGTCCTTTTAGAGTTGATTGTGGATAGTTAAAGTTATGTTTTGAATGGATGAATTGCATCATTGATATTATTATAGACACATTATCCTTTATGGAATGAATGATTTAGTTTATCATTTTTATTTGTTTCAAATGCATGTATAGATTAGCACTCTAATTCTTGTTAATAACAAAACAGATGTGGATGTTAAGATTGCTTGTGAAAATGACTGAGCACATGATCAGTTTGACACCTCAACTTAACAACCAAGACATAAAACCTCAATTTGTCAAATGAACATAAGTATTTGTTAAACTTGAAGTACAAGGTGATCAGACTCGAAAATGGAATCGTTATATAACTAACATTCCTTGAAACACCCGACATAATCAGTGGAGATGACAAAGAAAACCATGGTAAGTCTTGAGCTTTACGGTGCTTTTTGAGAGGATATCAACAATTACTCAAAGTAAGCTCTTTCACTTCTGATCTCTTTCAATAATCTTATTAAACTTGTTTAGATTGATGCAACTAAAGTGTTCTATTTTCATAACCCACAGGGAACCTTTGCACATACTTGAGAAAGGATCTTAGACCACCTTTGGATCAACTTTGAGCCTTAGCTAATTCTTTTACAAAAGTATATCCCTAGTCAACCATGCTTGAGCCATAAATGAATGAATTCTTTCTCGCCCGTGTAATGACCAAAGCCACAAAAGCATACATTTACCATATCTTACTATCTAATTTCTTGCACCCTCTTGAAAATCAATATGATAATAGAAAGGCAAGAAAAATAGTAAAGACAATGGTGACTACTGTTCAATAAAAGGAAAATCAGTGGAAACAGCCAAAAGAGAAAAGACACTGTGAGACAGGGAATTGCCAAGAAAGTGAAAAATGAAAAAAATAAAAGAAAGAAATCTCATTCCCAGGCAAAATAATAAGAAATCTAGAAAGAGGTGTGTAACACTGCATAAAAAGATAGCCTTTGATTACCATTAACGTTATTTCATTAGCCACTGGCCTCTGGCCCCATTACAACCTACAAAAAGCCCTAGGTGATCTCAAGTGTGATGCATATGTGTATTATCTACTACAAGTGGGGTGTGTAAACTAGAATTTCTCTATTTGCATCAATATTCTTCCATGAGATTATGCCAAGGTTAAGGTTGTTTTCCTCAAAACTTCACTCTTATACTGATAATGCATGAGATTTTTCGACTGACCATCTTCTGATCACATGCCACTTTTGAGAGACATGTCACCATAATCGGAGCAATTTATTTTGTTGAAAGCATTCCTAGAAAGGCTTGTGTAATCAAAGCTATCCATGGAAGGTGGAAAAAGGGGAATGATCGTTATATACTAATTCTTGTTCCTAGAATGACCATCCCACTACTCAGAGAATCTCAAATGCTAATGTGACAGGTGCTAATTTTTGCATAAAGTGAGTACCAATGGAAGAGAAAAGTAGGTGATAAGTCACGATTGAGGGTTGAGTGTCCCAACGACCATGATGCTAATTCATTTTTAGTCAACAATTTCACATACACACTTGTTTGACTGAAGTTTGTAGGTAGCTTCACTGAAAACCCTCACAAGACAACACTCGTCCACTAGGGTAAATCTAGCGATTCAATGGCTTGTTGCATAAGCTAAACGCATCCGGATGACCTATAAAAAATGCATTAGGAATAGATTTACCTTTCATTGTCTTTGTATTACTAGAGACTAACAATATTTAGATTGGGATGTGATTCAAGCGTAAAGTTAACAATTTTTACTATGCCTTTTTGAACCAATTGTACTTTGATGGAGTTTAAGTAATGACATTTCAGGTCCTAAAGAGAACAAAGGCTCAAGAACAACAAAAATCACACTTCAATGTAACACTAGTACACTAGGGAACAAAATTACAGAAGGTTGGAACAAAGCAAGAACGTTCGAATGTCCTCTGAAACCCTGCAAAGACCAGCTGTTGAGACATGGCGTGTTGTAGTCAACAAAGGGCAAATGCCGAAGTACTTGAGTACCATGTTCGAATGTCCTCTGGAATCTTGAGAAGACTACACCACTGGAACCTGGCATGTTGCAATAAAGAAAGAAGAACCAGAAGTACTTGAGTACCACGTTTGAACGCCACTCCACGTTCGAACGTTGTCTTGAGTGATTGAGGACCAAGTTGCTGAGTGTAAAGTCAAGGTTGTTCAAGACGTATGGAAGTGGCCAAGTTAGTGACCACAGGCCACTTGAGTGGAAGGAATCAAACCCCATCTAGCATTCGAACGTCCTCAAAGCAAAGACACAGACAATGTTTGAACAACATCTCACGTTCGAACATCCTTAAAGAAAAACAGACTTCACATTCAAATGTCAGATCACGTTCAAACGTCCCCTTGCAGACTGCCTGTAGAGTAGTTGATTCCCATGGGTGGCAAACACTATTCACTCATCCTCTCTTATCTCCTACCCCCTTCCCTTCCTTGCCTATAAATACTCCCATGTTGGGAGCTTAAAAAACATTCTTCCTCTTGTAGAGAAAAGGGGGAGCAATCTTTGTTCCTGTAAAGTAAGAGTGTTTTAGTAATCTAGTTCTTGAACATTTCATGTTTATGTTTTCATTTTGCATTTGTATCAACCATGATGGAGGCTTAGACTCCCCTTGTAGTTGTACTTGCTTTTATTTACAAAGTATCAAGAGTTATAGTTCATCTTTTGGTTGTGGTGGAAATCCTCCAAAAGTAATTACCTTTCTTTCACTTTTATTGTTCATGTATTTCACTTCCATTGCTTGAGCATCCTTCTTTCTTAGAAGAGTGAAACTCTTCCACTTTCTAGAGTTTTACCAAAGACGTGAAGGGTGAAAAGTAATTCACTTATTTTCCATTGAAGATAAGCTTTTCTTTAGTTTGCTTCATTTAATTAACATTAATTATATATCAACATAAATCACGTGCAAATTGCACATGTGCAAGTCACTAGTAACCACAAAACAGAGAGACGTAGGAAACTAATCTTTACTATATAGGTTGGAACTGACCCCCGACCTCCTAGTCAGGAGTATCTGGGATAACCATGGGCGGAACTAAGAATGGCTTAGGGGGCCATTACCCCCCTCACATTTTTAAAAATTCCAATAAACACCCCATAAGTTTTAAAAAAACTCTGTTTTTCCTTGGGTACTAAAAAACGTCATCTATAGACAATTTAGTCCATTTGAAAAGACTAATGAATTGATATTTAATAATAAAAGGCTGGGTAATGATTTACACATTATATTTGGCAGGATGAGTTTGATGACAAGGAAATTAAACAAAATGTAATATTGTTGTGAAATTAAATTACAAAGGTGACTTGTATCAAAAGTAACGTGTTAACTTACGACTCTTTTTTACCATCTTATCGTACAAAGCTATTATTTGTGAGGATAATTTATTCAAAATAATTACTTGATATCATAATGTGAGAGTAAAGAATCATGACACCGTCACAACCTAAATTTTAAGATAGTAAGAACTGATCTTTGGATATATGACCCAAAATAGATTTCCAATATTATTTGTATGCAAGTTAATCATGATAAGTTTTGTATAACTGCTAATCTACTTAATAAAATACTTAAATATGCTATTGTTTGACTCTCTTTAGAATAAAATCTTGATTCTGTCTGTGACGATTAATTAGATTGGTAAAAAAGTTAGCAAATTCAAGATTATTACTATTTACTTATTTTATTATTACATAAACGTGAAAAATGCCACTTACCATATATTAATTACACAAATAATAGCTCAAACTTGAACAATCAGTGTTTTAAAACCTCGCCCGGGCCGACAGGTTGACCAGGTGACCCGGTGAACCGGTCCCCTAACCGGGCCAATTTTGTAATTGGACCGTTTGAGCAAAGAACCCAGAATAAAACCAGTGAACTGGTCAAAAAACCGGTGAACCGGTCAAAATCGGACCGGGTTTACAAAACCGGCCAATTTTGTTCCTTTAGTATAAATATGTATTTTTTTTACATTTTTGTGTCTTTTTCTTTTCTCCTTCTGTTTTGTCCTAAATCTTAAATCATTCGTTCAGTGTTTGTTAACTCAAAAATTAAGTTAATACAATTAAATAATTCAAGTTTGAAGGTGGAGGCTGGGCTGTTAATTGAATGCATTGGTTTATTAATTGAGTGTAATTAAGTGATTCAGGCTTGATAATTTTGTTTGATTTAATATATATTAAACATGTTATTTTTATAATTATTTTAATTTTTTAATCTATTTATCATCATTAATAATTATTTTTAATTTTTTTATTATATCACCGGTTCGACTAGCGACTCAATGATTAAACCAAAAATTCATTGACCCGATCCTTTCTCTCTGTCAGTGTTCGGGCCAAATTTTAAAACTATGCGAGCAAGAATAGCTAACCTTTTCGGTTGGTAATCAAATCCAATAGTCAAAAGATGGTTAGGTGGGGACTCGCAGGTATTAACCACGCAGCTTGTACAGACCGGGCATCTACCTCCCCTAGGCCACGGCAATCAGCTCCCGGAAGAATGAGCCACGTCACATCAAAAGTATATGTCTTCAAATGTCCTGACATTTTCTTAGGAATCCTAATAAAGTAAGGGACCATCCAAACAAACTTGAGAAAAAAAAAAAAGAGGTAATGGATGGGGGACCATGCGACCCATGAGGATAAATACCCCCGGACACCTCCGTATTCTTCCCCAAGTAAATACTAAAATTTTTAGGAAATAAAAGATTCCATTAAAATGATCTAGTTAAGTTTTGAAATTGGTGAACCACAATAAGTTTTGAAATTGGTGAACCACAATAAATTGAGCATCTTTATTGTCCATTTGTCTAATTATCATATTTGCAGTCAAACATTCAAGCCTCAAGCTCTCCAGCTTACTCATCATACACGAACTTACTGGATGTCGTTACATTTCTAGTCCACACATCATCAGATACAATCGTACAAGATCATATCATTCAGCAAGCCAAAAGAAAACAGATGTATGAAAAGAAAAAAAAAACAAACACACATGACTCAGATGCAGTGATATTTAACAAATCCCAGCAAATTGGTCTTTGTAAAAACAGAAAATCATTGCTTATTAGCGGATAAGGAACTCAAGTAGGAGAGGCTAGCTTGGAAATAGTTGACCAAATATTCTCTTGGTGGCATACATTCACTGATGACTGGAACTTCCATGAAGTTTTGAGCCCATTCATAGAGTACTGGGAACCTTTGAGGGTCAAGTAGCTTCATGCCCCCAACTTTTTCCATGACTTCGAGCCAACGACACATCCAACCAATCACCAGATCCAGAAATCCGATCTGTTCTCCTCCAAAAAACTTCTTCCCATTGATCTGATTCTCGATAAGCGCTAGCGATTCTTTTGCAGACTGTATAGCCTTCTCCTTCTCTTCTCCTTCGGCCCGACAGGCTCCCCATGCACCAAACACACACTGGACTCCGTGAAATCAGAGAAAAAGAGAGCACGTTATAAGCTCATTTAGTAAATCATTTAGTGTTATCTATGTTCAATATTAGTGCATCAACCTTCCTTTAGCCCCAATGCATTTCTAAGGGTGATGGTCCTTTTTACATGGTTTCGGTCATTACCCAATACAGTCCCTTTAAAAAAGAGCGCATGAAGGAACATATTAGTCGAGGACTTTACCATTATCATCATGCACACAAAAAAAAGTGTTTATCGTCGGAGGCTAACAGTCGTTAGCCCAACACTTTCATCGTTATAACAAATAATAACCCTAAAGTTTTTATAATTTTCCAAGGTAGATCAGTACCATTTGGGGAAAATATCTTTGAATTGAAAAGGCCATAAATCCATGGCTTTAGAGCAACTTCAACTCAGTTCTTCAAAATGGTTATCCTAAATATATTTAAATATTACATTATCTACTTTAACTAGCTATTTTTATAAGTTCACTCCAACAATTCTCTCTATTTTACCTAACTATTTCAACTAATTTTTACAAACTTTCAATAATATAATTTAGGGAGAATTATATTCAGACCCCCTAAGGTTTATCACTTAATCACTTAGACCCCTGACATTTGAAAAATTACACACAGACTCTTTTTAGGCTTGTACTCGCATAACACTTAGACCCCTATTGTAAATATATCAATTAATAAATTACACTTAGACTCCCTTGAAATTTGTAGGTATATAATACTTGGACAAAAAATACTCCAATTAAAAATAAAATATTAAATATTTTAAATTTTATAATTAAAATTCTTATTCTATTGTATCATTTATTGAAATAAAATTAAAAATAAAAATTTATTTTTTTCTTAAAAAATGTAATTAATATACAATTATACTACCTTTTGGAATAAAATTAAAAAATCAAATAAGGGGTCTAAATCATTCATAATAGAACATAAATTTTTCTTCCAAAATTCAAGTTCTATTATATCATTTATTGAAACAAAATCAAAAAAAAATTTAGTTTTTAAAAAAAAATCATAATTAGTATATTATTATACTATCTATTAGAATAAAACTAAAAAATTAAATAAGGGATCAAATTGTAATTGATACAATATCTTTTACCTTTAATTGGGGTAGTTTGGTATTTTAATTTGGTCGTTTAAACAACCAAGTTAAATTTCAACAAACAATATAATTTTATACTAATTACGATTTTTTGAAGAAAAAAATGAATTTTTATTTTAATTTTATTTAAATAAAAGATAAATAGAACATGAATTTTAATCGTAAAATTTAAAATTTAAAATATTTGATATTTTATCTTTGATTGAAGTATTTTTTGTCTAACTATAACATTTTAAATTTAAGGGGTCTAAGTATTATATACCTATAAACTTTAAGGGAGTCTAAGTGTAATTTATTAATAGATATATTTATAGCAAGGGTCTAAGTGTTACACGCGTGTAAACCTCAGGGAATTTGTGTGTAATATTTCAAATGTCAAGGATCTAAGTGATTAAATGACAAATCTCAATGAATATAAATGTAATTCTCCTTATAATTTAAAAATGTCACGTAGTTTAACACGTCAGTGTTAACTATAATGATGACGTAGAATCATCAAAATTTCAAAGTTTGAATTTTGCAATATTCATATTTTCAACGGTATATTTTTGAAAATGTATAAATAAGATTTTTCCCCTCTTATTGTTATATACCTCAATTTCAACCATAGCAATGACAAAAACCATATAATCAATTTGAGATTAATTTTTCAGCCAGATCACTTAAGATTTTATCTGCAGAAATCAAGAATCACCATCATAATTAATCTTTAATTTTAAAGAGGTTGAAAGCATGCTATAATAGTAGTTCTTGATAGCACAAATATATATTATGATATTGATACATCATTGTTCATTGAAAAAAATAAAACAAAAACACTTCTTGCTGTTCTTCTGGAATTCAGACTGACAAGAGAGGGAAAGAGAAGGTGAATTTGGGGGTGAGGAGAGAAGGATTTAGAAAGGGTTGAGCTTGGATTTAGAGAGGTCCGACACAAACCAGAGCACTAAAGGGGTTGTGCACATTTGAGCACTAGGGTTTCAGCTCAAATTTGGGCACTAGGGTTTCAACTCAGATTTTGGTAGAAAAAGAAGGAGATCCATACCTGGGTGAAAGACGAGGAAGACCACCTCTATGATGAAGACGATGAATACCACTTCTGTGATGAAGATGATGAATACCACCTTTTGTGATGAAGATGATGAAGCCACTTTGGCGCAAAAAGGATAGATAGCAAGCGAAAGTGGGTCACCATTTCTGACAAGTGAAAATTGGATTTGGTAAAATAGCTAGTGAGAGAGAGAGAGTGGGTTGGAGAAAAATTTTAGGGATTGGTCCTTCAAAATAGCTAATAATGACCTTTCAACGAGTGGGTTGGAGATGCCTCTAAGGAGCAAAAACACTTGGGCATTCCTAATCTTTGATATTTGGATCTAGATTTCTTAGTTTCAAGTTTTTTGTCAATTTTAGTCGAATTCACTCATTCTTTGGGTCTCAACCATTATTTTTCATTTATCAATGTCATTGCCTGTCAACGGATCGAGTTAAGATCGGATTGATTTCAAAAGTCCCATCTGAATTTGAATATAATAATTCGACGAATTTTATTTTTATGATTCATATTCGAATCTATTAACAATTCAAAATTTTCAATCCAATCCGAATAATTTAATGAACTAAATTTTAACAAATTATATCTAAATTTGAACTAAATTTATTTAAAAAATCCTTTAATTTCTTTAATATTTATATAAAAATATTAAAATAATTCAGATAGAATCAGATATAAATATATCAAAATTCGAATATTTGAAATATAGGATATCGAATTTGAATTTGGAATATCGATAAAAAATATTAATCCATATCTAACTAATTAAATTCTAATTCAAATCAAAATTTAATCAATCGACCGATCTACATCCAAGGAGACCCAATAAGTTTTCCGACGTGATCATATTTGAATTTCAGAATTTTAAAAAATATATATACTCTAAACTTCTCTCTTTGTCTCTCTCTTCCCCCCCCCCCCCCCCCCTCCCCCTCCCTCTTCTTGGTGTGGATGTGTGAGAACACTTAAGTGGAAAAATAAAGTCACAAAAAGATAAAGCTAGGGTAAAATCATGTACCTTGTCATCAGCAAATCTAGCCCAAAAGCGAACCATTGCCCTCTCATATGGGTCTTGAGGCAACAAAGGGTACTCCTTCCAGGTTTCATCAATATATTCGAGGATGACAAGTGACTCAGGAATGGCTTTGTCGTCGTGAACTAGCACTGGGACTTTCTTGTGTACAGGGTTGTACTTAAGAAGCAGAGGGCTCTTGTTTCTTAAATCTTCCTTGATGTATTCATACTCCACACCCTTGAGCTTTAAAGCCCACTCAATCCTGGTGCAAAAAAGACTTGTAGTAGCTCCTATCACCTTCACTTTGCCCATCTGATTTAATTTCGAAAACCAGTGATGAAGTTCCAGTTTCTGATGGGGTTAACCTTTTATAGTCAAGTTTTAGACCAGACCAAGGAAAAATTACACTTTAACCCTTTCAATATGAACCATACATATTTTACATTTTTCCCACAACTGTTATCTTTCTCATTATATTTTCAACTACAGTAATTGATTTCACACCGTCTAAATGATTACATTAGTTACAAATTTGATAGAGAGATGTCTCATTTTGTCCTCTAAATTATATAATTTTGTTTCACATGTCCCAACCATGGACTTTCAGTCTAAAAGATAATAAACATTTTCTTTTGGGTGTAGTATCAAACCAATTAAAATTGTTGACTAAAAAATATGAGAAATTTAATAGTTTAATGTGCAATGTGAAATTGAGATCATAGTTAACAGTATTAAAGTGTTACATTGCATGTATATTATTTTTTTGTTCCGGTCTAACACTGAAATTTAATTAAAAATTCAAGTTAGATTTTCTTTGAAAAGTAAACCTTGGTGGGCTGCCGCTACAATTTGACTTCAGCTTTTGACTTTGGAGTCCCGCTACCAAAAAAAATGGCACTATAGTTTTATATTTTAATCACTAAAAATATGACAACATTTTTTATATTTTATTTTTTTAATTAATAATTATAAATCATCTAATTTAAAATTAATAATTGAAATTAATATGTACGATTCAGTGCTTTAGGCTTACCATTGACTTTGTGGAACCAAAGGCAGCATAAGGTAAGGGCATTTGAACAAAGCGCTTTTAGCATTTTGGCACTCAGTTTCTTCCTGGAAAGGGCTGATGTAGAACTCAATATAAAAATAACAGAAAGTTCAACAGGCTGGCCAGAGCCAAACAATACGGCGATTCCACATGTCACGACTCACGAGCCAATTTCACACAACGCTAGCTGCGTTTGAATTTCTTAGTCCCGTTTATAAAACCCAATTCTTTCGGTACGCGACAGATAAAAAATCCGATGCAAGATTGTGTAATGAATTTTTTTTTTAGTTTAATTATCAGGGATGTTTAAACTAGTTTATATATATTTTGATTAATTTTTTTTATAGTTCAGACAAAGGCAGGTTATCAACGCCCATGTGAGAATTAAGGTATTCGTGAGAGATAAATTCATTCTGTGCAAAACAAATTGTTAAAATTTAAATTCAACGTTTAAATTTACGATTCGTCCTTAATATCATTTAAACTATTTAATCTCTATCAACAAATATTTTAGTAGTCTTTTAACATTTACCAAATATTACATATAACATTTATTTCATATTTTTTTTCTCTCAAAAATATCAATTTTTTTGTACAACCCTCGGTACTAGACAACTCAATCAATACATCACACTCTCCAATTACAAATAATCTCATTAGTCTACACTTATTTTTTTTTTCTCTCTTTTCATTTTAATTTTAATTATATAATAAAATTTAAATTACTATTTAAAATATAAATATTATACAATTAATGTTTTTTAGTATTGCATAGTGTCTTTAGGTATAGGGTTATCGCTAGTTTATTTAATATTATAGCTAACAAATTGAATTCTCAACTTATTAAAGGACTAGAACAGTTAAAATTAATTCAATATTCATCTACTTTAATATAATGATACAAAATTCATCACAAAAAATTTTTACAGCCTAAAAATATCATCTATTTTGTACGACCTTCAATATCAAACAACTTAATCAACCATCAACACATTTTTCCAGTGCCAAAAAATTCGATTAATTCACACATACATTTCCCTTCTACTTCTCTCTTTACTTTAATTTTAAATTGTGTGATTTAAAAAATAAATTATTAATTAATATATAAATATTATAACATTAATGTCCAATTTTAATATTGTAGAGTGTCTTGAAACATAGGGTTATTAAACATGGGATCAATATACAGTAAAAGAATAATAGAACCTGAGGAAATAGACTGTAAAAAGAAAGCAAAATCATGGTCACTGACACAAAAACCAAAGTAACAAATAACCAAAGAAAATTTGGCAAACCATGTCCTAGGAGTCTGTTTAAGGCTATATAAAGCTCGGTGAAGTAGACATACTTGATCTAGACAATGAGGCAAGCCAGGAGGAAGAGTCAAAAAAACCACTTCACTTAAAGTCTCCATGAAGAAAGACATTTTTCATATCCATCTGAGACAAACTCCATCTGCAAATGATAGCAACTGTGCAAACAGTGTTCACCTTTGCAACTGGACCAAAAGTTTCATCATAGTATAGACCACACTCTTGAGCAAAACCCTTAGCTACTAATCGGACTTTACATTGTTCCATAGAACTATCAGACTTGGTTTTTATCTTAAAAACTCACTTACAATCAATGGTGCATTTAGAATATGATAAAGACACTAGCTCTCAAGTTTTGATCTTATGTAAGGCAGACAACTCTTCATCCATAGCATGTTTCCAAAGTAGATCAAGTAAAGCCTCCTTGTAGGAGGTGGGTTCAATTAGGAGTGAATAGAAGTAAGAAAAGAATGAAAGGTAGAAGAACAACAAGTGTGACTCTAACCAAACCTTCTTGGACATTTGCGATTTTGTTAAGGATAGCGTGAGGTATAATCCACAGTGTCTGAACCTGATTGGGTGGCAGAATGAGAAAGGGAATGCACCGCATTCGTAGAGGAGATAACTGAAATCCTGCGAACATATGTATGTGCAATAGGGGGACATGGGATAGTCAACTAAAAAGAGGAAGAATTTGACACAATTAAATCACCCACATATGTGTCATGAGGAACATTAGTAGGAAATGAAACAATGTGTAGCATATAAGATTTATTCAATGGGGAAAAACTAGATGGAATTGAAAATAATGGAATATGCTCCATAAAGACAACATAGCAAGAGATATACATTTTGTGGGTAATACAATCATAGCAATGATACCCTTTTTGACCCTTAGCACAACCAAGAAAGGCACGTAAAGCTGAACGAGTAGAAAGTTTTGTAAGAGGAACACTACGGAGCAAAACAAAGTAAGCACAACACACATAAAGAAAAATAGCTAGGCGGCTTACCATACGAATTTTCAAATTGAGAGACGCCAGAGGTTAGAACAGTAGAAATGCAATTGATCAAATGAACTACTGTAAGAACTACTTGTTGGAACAGAGATCTCAAGAGCCGTTGATAGCACGTATGTGTCGAATATCAAAATTTTTCCTTTAATACCATATAAGGCGGAATTGGGGTTTACATTCGAGATCCCTCGGAATTGATCTCGTCTTAGCACGATCGCAGAACATAATCAACAAGCAATCGAAGGACAACTCAATGAACCTCGCGTCCTTCTACCATATATCCCCAAACATCATAATCGGGATGCAATGTGGGCTACCAAGACTTCCAAATCCTTGCTCTCTCTTTCAGCCTCTCTCAAAACGTGAGAAAAGAATGGATGCTAAATAAGAGAGCCTAAACGTCTATATATATAGGCTATGACAAAGACCCTAAGAAGAAATAAGGACCTAACGTCCAATGGGCTTAGGAATCCTATGTTCAACCCAAAACAAACATCCTATAACCCATTAATAATAAGTCAGTCCATTAAAGAATTATTATTGATTTTCTGAGGCTTATCTCAAAATTATATTTGAGAACCTTATTATTAAATGCTTAATAATCTTCCCACGTTTAAGATTACAGATGTCCATTAAATAAATAAATTATTGATAATTATATTTAATTAACTTTTTTTATTCCTTGAGACCTTACCACTTAACTTATTTGTCATGTCAGATAATTAAATCAACCTGCAGGGTTTGACATGGATAAGACTTATGAGTTTCCTTAAAAGGACATCATCAACCCATTTAAATACTAGGATATGGTTTCCTTAAATATTTAATTTCTACCATACAAATAACATCATCTCCCAATTCACCGAGCTTATTGACTCAATATAAATCTCACTCATTGATGAATTAAAATGACAAACATTATATGTACGTGACAATTAAATATTTTGTGATTTAGAGTATAAGCAATCATAATAATCATAAGATATTTATTATTTTATTGAATCAGTAAAAGATAATAACCTCAACATGAGTATGTTCAATACACAAAGTGTACTAGTACAATAATTCGAGACATCAAATAGTCTCTTATAGTCAAGACAAACTATACCAAAATATTACACTACAATTATATCAATAGTGCGTCCAATCCTATTTAGGATTGTGAACATATACTCAAATTATACAATGATCTAATAATCTGGTCTTTTGTGTATAAGCCGAACTCTACACACCAGATTATCTATAATGTAAAATATAAGACATACATGCATAACATATATTAAATATAACGCAAACAGTCCATACAGATTCTTAATAAAATGAATTTTTTTTATTAATTAATAAAATGAGCTTCAATACAAAAAATAAGTTTTTAGTATACTACTCTATCACTACTTTCCCCCAAAATGAGCTGGGAACATGTGTTGATAATAGACGGGAGCATATTTTTTTGAGAATATAAAGGTGTTTATGTTTGATAACACCATTTTGATTAGGTATGTCAGTGCAAGAGGATTGATAAAGTGTAGAATCAAATTTCACCAAATCACAAAAAGAATTAAGATTCTATTCACCCCTCTGATCACACCCAAAATTATAATGATAGTAGAAAATTGAGTGTGGACCATGTTACAAAAAAAAGTGAAGATTGAAAAAAATTCAGACCAATGTTTCATCAAGTATACCCAACACTACCTCGTATAATCATCAATAAAGGAAACAAAAATCTAGACTATTCTTTTGTAGGAACAGGAGCCAGTCCTTATACATCAGAATAAACAAGATCAAATGAGACAAAAGAACAAGTAACACTTTTATTGAAAGATAATGTACTAAATTTAGCCAACTTGTATCCACTCAAATCAGAAATGTCACGACTTTCTAAATTACCCAAACTATTAGTAGAAGATAAAAATTTTAAACGAGAATGAG